TTTGACGATTGTTGTTAGGCAGTCAGTTCAGGATGCTAAGCCATCGTCGGGTTCAAATAACTGCGGAACTTCGTGAGGCTGTTGTCAAGGAGAGATACGATGGGGTGCGGGCAATCAACGTCTTAATCGGTCAAGGTGGATTCCTGCACTGCGTTCGAGGCATCAGTTCAGCAAAAATGCAAAGGCGTATATTACGGTGAATTTGTGAATTTTATTTAAGAGAATTGCCACTAAATAAGAAAATGTTACCTTTTGTTGGGACCATTAGAACCCATGTTTTGAAAATGCGACCCTAGACCGAGTTTGCATAGTCACTAAAGCGTCTGACTCAGAGCTCAAAAATCTTGGATTCGAGCCCGATCGCTTTCTTCCTTCTGAAGTTGATAAATGAGTGACATTCTGTGAGTAGAAAACAGAAAATTACGCAAAATTCTCACTACATAGCTGCTATCGACGTTGCCTTTAAAAAGGCTGATTGCCTGAAAATGTAAATTAGCGTCCGCCATTAACTTCACGGAAAGAGGGTGCCTGGAAATGGTCACATAATGCAAGGTTAAAGAAGGCCGACAATCGAACGTTTGCAAACTTTTTATCTCCTTTCCTTGCTTGAAAATGCAATGTTCAACTTCCATAGGCTATGTCACGTTTTTGATTAGAAAACGCCGCTGCACTGATAGTTGTCCAAATAATTGCGAAGGCAGCTTCTGACTGTAGAAAAGCAGGTTCGGCTACGGCAAAGTGCTTACGTGAGAAAATATGATATACCTGATTTTAAGTACATTTAAATTTTTGATGGATCTGCATGCATGCTACGATAGTTTGGATACCTTTTCGAAGCTGTGGCTGCTTTTCCATAGTTTTAGTTCTGCGCTACCTTTAAAAGCATTCATTCTATATCTGCTATGCCATTGTTCGCACGGAAAAAAAGCCATATCATCTCATGGGTAATATACGCCAGGTGGACGCCTTCTATAAATCCCACTGCAAAAGTTAAAATTTCTCATTGCACTTTTTTCCCAGCAGAAAAGCAAAAGGAGTACTTAATTTCCCAGAAAGTAAAATGCGCAATACACACCAACATAATCCATTTTAGAAAGAATGAACGACGCACTAAAGAGGTTTTCATGTGTGCATTTTTGCCGTTTGGTATCAAATCTTTCCCATGGTTTGTAAGCCAAAATTTACCATCTTTCACCTGGGTTTGTAGTCATAATTTACGAAACCGATTCGTCTTGAGAACAGGAAAGGACGTGATCGCTCAACTCCGGACTGTTTCCTCAGGCGACCGTAACGACGTTTCTGAGAGTTTTGCTTGGTAAATATAGCAGCTCAAGTAACTGAGCAGATACATCGCATGAACTAATCGTCTCAGTGCTCGAACAAACGACTGAATATCTTTTGTTACCTGTCCTTTAAATAAATTGACGTGAAACTTAATTTTTGTGTGACAAGAACCGGTATAATATCGTCAACTTCTAAGTACTCTGTCTGATTTTCCTCAAACACTGAAGCTGTTCGTACTAATAATGTTGCAATATATCCTTTACATGCTTCTGTAAAACTGAGCTCAGAAACATATCCGCTCAAGAACTATGAAAAGAAGAAAATTGGGTCTACACTTAGTACTGAATATCCCACTACATAGTCAAATATCAGGCGGATAAAGGCAAATTGCAGCTCTAAATTTCAAGCATGGCCGTAAATCTTGCACATGATCACACCAAATTACCAAACTGTTAGCACTGTTTGCAGGTCGAACAATCGCTACCCATTCCTGAGCTGGCTGCACCGAAGAATGTTCTGGCAAATTCCTTGCTGTTGGGAATTGGCATTAATAGATGAAATTTTGTACTGCGCGTGTGATTTAAGCATAACGTGTCCGAAGTTCACACTAAATCTCTTAATCCTGCTTAAACAAATCACAGCCTGATCCATATCTAGTTAGAAATTCTTTGGCTGCTTTCGGGGTATAAAAGATGAAATAGTAAGATGTTAGCATACCTGGTGTCTGAATGACGATGTTTTATCCTGTTATCTACTCATCTTTTCTCTGAATTTTCAGGCAAGGTCATTGCATCCTTGCTGGTTTTTATGTTGAAGATACCAATGCTTAAGATGCAGCAATTCGTTGCTTCAATGAATACAAGTTAAATACCGTGAAGTCGATTTAGCTGCCAGCTTTCGATTATAGGAGTGATCACATTTTTAAATGACCTGATGTTTCTAGCTTCGAAAATTATAATTTTTCACCTTTCCTGTTATTCATTTCATTATGTTATTCTGTTCGACATGTGCAGCAAATTTTTATGCGAATGCGACAATCATTTAAGATTAGTTTACAGTGCCGCTTTAATGCCTAGGCATTTTGATTCTAATAATGTAAAAAGTGATTTGTATGCTTTGTTGAAACGTGAATCGCCTCCAAACGCTGTACCTCGATTTAAACACCCTCTACAAACATACTGGTCATCTGCAGATTGATGTGAAAAATTTTTCTCAAAATATGCAAAATTTCCCTGTTACAAACAAATTTTGTCATCTACTTGAACGATGGATATTTCGCCAGACTTGGAGAAAAAAAAACACTTTAAGATATAATCAATTTTGTCTTACTAGGTGCTTCAGGTGGTGTGCTACAATCGTTGTTTACTGTTTCCATACTATACTTGTAGCAGGTAGCACACTATATTTAACAGTTTACTTTTCGACATTACAGCAGTTCCCTTCTACAGAAAAGATGGAACAGCTCGTTTAATCAGAGGACTATAAATCAATACAGTCCCAAACCTTCAAATGGAATGGAAATATTTGGAAAGCGAAACGTCAGTGAGAAAGTCTAATTTTTTGCAACTGTTCATAGTACCACTGAAATGATAATTGCATCTGCCTAGAGAAAATAACTGAGAAAATATGTATTGGTTTTGAATAACAGCTTGTGAATGCACTTAATTTAAATAAAACGTTTATTTATAGCTTTAGCTGCTTAGGAAGAATTCTAAGTGATTATGGCCATGAACTCTGTGAAAGTTCCAACGATACTGTACATCTTAATTATAGACCATTTAGCAATGATTCAAACGGCGCAGACTCCGTTGTTGTTTTCCGATGTTCAATGGAAGCGGTTGCCGAGACATGTAGAACTCGCAAATATCTCTTCATACCTGCGATAGACTAGGTGGAAAAAGCTAACTATTTTGGGCAGATGCAGCATCTAGAAAGTATGTAAGTCCGCAAACAAATTGAACGGCAGAATTCAGTTTTATACACCTGAAAGAGTTTGTGCCACAGCTGGAACAAATTCTGATTACATGCCATATAAGCCGCATCATTGTATCTTTGTATGTAGTTGCATTTCGAAGCGAAAATGAAGTTTAAAATGGTAGAATAGGAGCATATGGCACGCCTCAGAAGTGCGAATGAAGAAGATTCCGACTTAATTGAATTCAAACGATTCAAAGATTCATATTTTCTGGCCGAATTCAAAAAACGGTGGTCTTAAGTTAAACTGAAAAATAAAAAAACTTATTTCAGAAGCGGTAACAAAAGCAATAATGTGTACCAAAATAAACAGAGAGGGAAACCTAGGCAAATTTCTCAGCAATGCTTCCTCTAGTCTAACAGAGATAATCTACTCATCGTCATGCAGCAGGTCGTAATGCACAGAGCCTGCAACGATGCGGATCGTCATTCACTCATTGAAGACGAATGAAGCATGACTGGAACGTCGCAGATTCTGTACATAACTTTTATGAGACGTCACTTAGCGAAAACATTTCTGAACAGCATGCAACTGCGAAATAAATTCCTAAATATACTGTTTGACTTCTCTTTTATAACACTGGAATGCATTCTATTAAAAGTTTTTTACCATCGTCAGTTATAGAATTTTAAGTGCACCGGCCTTTCTGATAAGCATAGCTAAGAAGCCAATATTGAGAAAGTTTGGCGCTTAAAATGGAGATTTTTGCACCAAATTTAGCATATGTTACTCACGACTCACCAACTTGAAATACAAATCATTATGGATCTCGTGTCAGATTTAACAGAGCAGCGTACTCTTTAAACCATTGCGAAACTTTCTAAACAAAAAATAATAATGACAATAAATATGTAATATGCACATAAATTTAACATGAGCCAAATAAAACCAATTAAAAACAATGCTAAATTTTTATGAATTCATGTTACTGTTAAGATTTTCAATAAAATCTGCACATTCAGTACCTAAGGTTTCTAAATGTTTCCTATAGCCAATACCCATAATGTTATAAGCTTACTAGGAAAGCAAGTTTGTGACGCAGCAGTTAAAATGATTCTCTAATCTGTCATCAGAATCAACACTGCAATTGTACTGTTTCGATGGTTCAAGAGACTTACAGAACCGCTTTTTGTTAAACATACTTGGGGCATTTTAGCTGTGCTTGAATATTCCAGCACAAAAATACGGTTTTATGTTCATGCACTGCAGAGGCAACAGTCGAGTAGATCCGTGGCCTCCTGCAAATATCTCTGAGGCCTGTAGAAGAAAGGGGATGATTATTAACGCAATCTACATACATATACGAATTAATGAATATTCATTCATATAAAAATTTAATTTATGCAAGAAATGTTTCGTAAAATATCGAGATTTCCAAGTATTTGACAGCACATTTATGAAAAGCGATATGTCTGGCGAGATATGTATACCATCTACTAATATAATTTTCGTTACCTACCGTAATTCAACATAGAACGAGAGCATGCAGGTACTTAATGAGCGGTCATAGCTATTTGATGCTATACGAAGTAGTCGTTTGGTAAACGCCATGGTAATTGACGCACAGTGGAGGTATGTCGTGAATACGTGAGTGACAGCAAGATTACAAAAATCCCGATGACGTCGGCGACGTTGAAGGTGAGGGAGCGATTAATCGCTAGTCCTTCAACACCGGTGTTTCGCGAGTATGCGGACACTGAGCAGCTCGATTTGCCGCTAGAAATGCGTCGGACGGGGAGCGCGGCCTCCCGCCTCGGTCGAGAGGGCGAATTGGTGGCCCCCCTGTCGCACAAAGGACACGTGATCGGGGTGTTAACGTCCGGAGGCGATTCTCAAGGTGTGTAGCGACTTTTTTATATAGATTTTTCGTTGTTTAAGGGAAGCTGCCAAGGAGATGAACATCGAGAACGAGGAGGAAGAAGCCGAAGCACTTGATGAGCTTGACGAGCTCGGCGATCGCAATATGCCTTTACCGTCTCTGCTACGACAGAGATACTCGGTCCGCGCCGACTCTATTGTCCGGGCAGTCGGCCGCGAAGGCGACTTTGTCTTGCCCCGACTGTACGCTGGCCACTCGTTGGCCGTACTCACCAGCGGTGGTGACAGCCAAGGTCTGTCTGTTTGACCTTTGGAGCTGTTCAGTAGTTTTTCCTTCTTTCATGTGTCGTTTCCTAATGTCGGTAAAAGTATTTTCGATGCTGTTTTTATTTTGCATTTTACTATTATGAGTCTTTGGTACTGCATTTGTTTGTTTATTTGTTTTA